AGCCAAAAATAGTAAAAAGCGACATTTACAAAGGGCAGCGAGCGCAGAAATAAGTCATTAAAAACACATTATCGACCATATGTAAATACCCTTTGGTCTTGAACACCGCATTCGTAGCCTAGATAAGGGATATTTAAATGGCACATGGCAAAAAGTCCAAATAAAATGGCAATATTTTTTGATTTTATACATTTAAATGTAAAGTTGATTTGAATATCGCAGATAAGATTACATACATATCTTTTGTTAGATGAGTCCTTTGTGATTAACCTTAGCGATACAATATAAAACATGAATCAGCATTTAATTTTATATTCTTAACAAAAATAATCGAAAATATAACCAGGGCGGCTTAAATCAGGCTGGGCAAACTATATAATACCCTACACCACTTTGCATACAGGGTTGCCCATATTCGACGGACCCATGTTTGTGGCTCGTCCGCAGGCAACATTCTTTGCGTCCATTGAATTTTGTACGGGAACAAATGTAAATCAATGCGAATAATCCGTTGTAAACTGGACCGAGCCATGCCCAACTGCTGAGAACGGCGTTTTTGGGATGTTCTTGGGGACCTCTCAACAGTGGCTCGTACGGCAGCGATATTCTCGGCCGATCGCCTTGGTCGACTTTTATATGGCCTCTTCGGATTAGAAAGAGCCTTACCAGTCGAAAATTTTTCGTATAAACGGTTAATGGTATTCTTAGAAGGCGCACTTCTCACATTTTTTAATGTTTTAAAAGCACGTTGAGTTTTCACAATTGACTTCTTCTGTTGAATGTAAATTTTAACTATTTCGCGTGGCGTGTATTGGTTCATGGTAAAAATCTGCTTGGACTGACGCTTCAAACGCGGTATGTCATTAAGCGATGTGACATCTCTGTCAAAAGTTATGGCGTTGCCAGATGGGTCCGTCGAATATGGGCAACCCTGTATTTAGAAGAGCTACCCATAACAAATAAAAGTTTTATTTCATATATAAGAATTAAATTCTACCAACTATGGGCGTTTTAGAATGCGTATTATCCCTATGAAACTGCTATGATTTAAAGGCGGAAGGAACTAATATATAGGAGGTGTATGCTCCTCTGCAGCGATTTCTACTGAATTTGACGTTGGCATTTGTGTCCGAACCGATATGCATCAAAATGCATGTTATTTAAGCGGATATCACACTTTTTGGCACAATAAACATGAAACGGGATAAAGATATATATGGAAGCTATATCTAATTCTGGACCGATCTCTATAAATTCAAGCAGAGGTATATCTGATAGTTGGTATAAAATATCGTTTTTGTGGAGAGCATTTTACATGTGTGAGAGGGATGAATTCCATTCAATTTGGGCTTGTATTAACCACTTGGTAGTCAATGAACTTTAAATAGCAAGCAAGTAAATCCATATATGGATATATATTCAAATCTAAACCGATCTCGATATCATCTGGAACTTGAAAAAATGCATCGAAAAATACCACTCTAATGAAATCGAACTTCAAATACGAAAATTGAAACAATTCCGGTGAATAATATCGCTAAAATCATTAAAATTCCGAATATTGGGAGGTACAGTTAAATGACACATATACCAAGACGTTGATCTGCATAGGCAATTTTCTGTCACGAGCTGTAGTATTCTTTTCGAACTTCAAATACGAAATTCCAGGGAATAAAACATTATTCAGATGTGATAGCGGAATAACTTAAAATTCAGTATTTGGATTCCGCAATGGGTTCTTCTGTTTATATTGAAAAATTTATACACTAGTTTTTCTATAGCCCCGATATAATTGTACCTCCCGATATTCGGAATTTGAATTTTAGCTACACTTTGGGAATATTTTAAAATTTGGTTTCTAGAGCTCATTATATGTCTATATTTTGTGGCAGAACATTGCCTATATAGGTCCACGTTTTGCTATAGCGTCCATATAATTGTACCTTACCATATTCGGTTTTTTGATGAATTTTGGGCTCAGTTTCTAGAGGAATAGCTTAAAATTCGATATTTTAAGTTCATATTGGAATATGTATGCTGTAGCAGAACACTGTCTATATAGGTCCACGTTTTCCTATTGCCCCCATATAAAGGTACTTCTCCATATTCGGTATTTTCACGATTTATACCACATTTTCTAATGGAATTATTTAAAATTCTGTTTATGGATTCCGTAATGGATTCTTCTGCTTATATTGAACAATTTCTATATAAGTCAATGTTATTCTATAGTCCTTCTGATACTCGGTAATTTGATGATTGTAGCCAACTTTTTTACAGAATTGTTTGAAATTTGGATTGGATGTTTCTATTAACAGAGTGACGCATCTCCCACGAGTACCAGAATTTCGGCAATTACAGAATTGTTTTTACATGAGCTAGTTCCCAAATTTTGGAGGTTATAAAAAGCCCGTTCCGACCTAACTTAACTGCTTCTTACCTTATTTTATATACTATCCGTCATTTTTTTTTTGTAACACCTCGCATTTTAGAACCCACAATATTCCTGATCAGCATAACATTCTATATCGATTTAGCGGTGTCCGTAAGTCTGTCTCTCGAACGAAAAAAATTTCGTATTAGAAGTTCTTAATGGGTACTAAAGTCGGTAATAGAAAAATACCTATGCATTCATGTATTTATATAGCCTCCATATAACGGTACATCCCTATTTTCGGTATTTTGATGATTTTAGAGAAATTGTTCACCGAATTTATTTCAAGTTTCGAATTTGAATATCGTAATAGACTATGACAAAAATTGCATATACACGTACACGTCGTCTTATAGGTTTCAATATAATATAAAATTTATTCCAAATGGTGTAGGGTGTTAAAAGTTCGGCCGAATTTACTACATTTTGAATTGATTTTTTTTATTTTAATTTTAAAATCAATCCTACCTAGTATATCATCATGAAATATTGTATGGTATTCGAAAAGAAAACTACCAGGTTGAAGAAACCCGGTTGACTGCCTTCGTTTCGTTTTCATTTTCGAGTGACTTTGAGAACTGGGCATTAACATTCCCTCCTATTACAGCTTTTCTAGGCATGTAGGCAAACGTTTTACATGAACATTAAAATGTTGGAATATATGTGTGTTTAGAGTTGTCATTTTAATTAAGCAAATGTTATCCTAAATACGACATGTGTTAAAAATCTTTGTTGCTTCATATTGTGTGTTTTAATTAATTAAGATCTATTGAGAACCTTGAACTTTCTCATATTTTTTTAGAAATAAAAAGTGGATAAGAATGAAAAAGACTAGTTTGCTACTTCGTAATAAAAGTTCTACAATAAGTCTTATCTTTCGATTTTAACTTGGGATATGAAATAAACAGCACCAGCGATAAAATGTTAAATCGCTTTCCTATCATCTAAAGGAAATTGAAAAATTACAATTTTTGGCATTTATGTCCAAAAAGAATTTTTAACTCAACAAAAACCTGTTGCACATTATGGTGTATAATAATAGATCTCAACAACAATATACTTTCTTGGAAACTTACTTAAAATTCTGTAACAGGAAGCTTATATTTCTAACTAGATTTTTGACCTGGTTTGAGCTTGACGAATTATAATATCCGTGAAGCATTAAAAAATCTATTTTTACTACAAATAAACCCCTTTTTAAATCATATAGTCGACATGCTCTAATTTGTATACCCTACACCACAAGTTCCCTTTGATGATCTTCATAGAATCACATTCTTAGTCGATTTATGAATGTCCGTCCGTCCGTCTGTCTGTCCATGTATTTTTGTAAACAAAGTACAGTTCGCATTTATTGCCCTATCCAAATGAAATTTGGCACAACTAATTTGTTTGTCCCATGCACGAATCCAATTGAAATTGGAGATAATCGATCAAAATTTAGATATAGCACCCATATATATCTTCGTCCGATTTGCCTTTTATTGTGCACCAAACGTGTAATATCAGCTCGAATATTACGGAATTTTACATATCCAACAAATTAAGCCTGAAAATAAGTATGCCAAATTTGATCGAAATCGGCTCAGATATAGATATAGCTCCCATATATATTGTTCATCCGATTTGTTATTTTTGTCCTCCGCAGCCGTAATATGCACTCTGTAACAACAATATTTGGGGAAATATATCAAATACAGCTCAGAAATACATTTGCAAAGTTTTATCGAGATCGGTTCAGATTTGTATACAGCCCCCATATATAACTTCGTCCAATTTACTTTTTATTGTGCACCAAACGTCAAATATGTGTCCAAATTGGATGGAAATTGAGTCTAGAAGCTAGTATGTCAAATTTGGTGAAGATCGGTTCAGATATAGCTATAGCTCCCATAAATACTGTTCATCCGATTTGTTATATTTGTTATCCACATCCGTAATATGCACTCCGTAACAACGATATTTAGGGAAATATATCAAATACAGCTCAGAAATATCTTTGCCAAATTTTATCGAGATCGGTTCCGATTTGGATATAGCTCCCATATATATCTTTAACCGATCTCAAATTAATTGTGCACCAAATGGGCAATACAAGTCCGAATTTAAAAGATACAAATGCATTGGCATATTAAGTCCTTTGAACTTTAAATTATAATTATAATCATAGCGTGTATGATGGAATTCTCCCATAAAATTTTAAATTGTTATGCGGAGCTCTACTAAATTAACAAAGTTGTGTAGGGTATCATAAAGTCGGCCCGCCCGACTTTAAGACTTTCTTTACTGGTTTTTTTATTAAAAAAAATTAAGTAATTTACTCTTGAAGAAAAGTAGTTCCAAACCTACTTCGTCATGCAAGGAAATCAGCAAAATATATTTCGAATGTGCAAGATTCTAAATATATTATCCAACCTCCATAACACCTAATTGATATGTGTTCCACAATAATGTTAATGCTTTAAATTACATTTGTTTCAAATGCTAAAGCGATTGTTAAGACATTGTTAGGTTGCAAATAAAAATTGATTAGTTAACATTTTAAAACAAAACATTTTAAACCAACCGGCAACAGTTTGTAGTGGTCCAAACATTCCGGCGAATTCATCATCTCCCGACTGATATATACGATCGTGTGTTATAAAAAATGAGTCATCGTTGTAGAATTGTTGCATCATGTCATTCTGTTCGGTATCTAAAGTGTCTAAATAAAACAAAAAGAAGAAAACAAAAATAAAATAAATAAAATGAATATTAATTAAAATAATATAATGAAAATCATAAGAAATAATATATATATTTATGAAATAATAACAATAAAAATATAAAAATTAACGTGTTTAAATGTTCTTTAACCTTAGGTAAACTTAAACACGAAAAAATATTTATTTAACTCTGAAGTTGTTAAATTTTTTATTTTTTAAATTCATTTTTTTAAATACCTTAAATCTATAGTTACCAAATTTTTCATCATTGCTTTTTCTGTCATATACAGGGTCAGATGAAAAAATAACTGCAATAAAGTAAAACGCCATAATTTTTACATTTTTTTTATACCCTACACCACAAGGTGGTCAGCGTATTATGTCTTTGTGCATTTGTTTGTAACAGGCAAAAGGAAACGAGATAGACCCATAGCAAAGACATAGAAGCATAAAGATGGGACAAGACAGAGTCAAAATATGGCAACCCTGTGAAAATACCTCTGATATCATAACAACATAGTTAGCAATGTTAAGCGATTTAAACCGCTTAGGCAATATGTAATTAATTGGGAAACTCTAAGGAATAGAATTTTGAAATCCTATTTATGGATTTTTCGAACTTTTATTTGTCATTTTTTTCGATAAATGTGGTTGTTATATTAACATGGTCCTGTCATGAGCTGTTATTCCAGATAGTATAGACACAAACCATCTGCTCAAAATGCATTTTGTCTAGTCTTTACCATTTTAGGTCTTTGCCCATAGTTCCTTTTGATGATCTGCAGAGAATCACTTTCTGAGTTGATTTATGCATGTCAGTCCGTCTGTCCGTCCGTCCGTCTGTCCATGTATTCTTGTGAACAAAATGCAGGTCGCATTTATTATCCGATTGAGATGAAACTTTGCAAACAACATTTGTTTGGCCCAAGGACGAACCCTATTGAAATTGGAGATAATCGGTAAATATTTAGATATAGCTCCCATATATATCTTCGTCCGATTTGCCTTTTATTGTGCACCAAACGTGTAATATCAACCCGAATAGTATGGAATATTGCACATACAACCAAATTAGGCCTGAAAATAAGTATGCCAAATTTTATCGAAATCGGTTCAGATATAGCTATAGCACCCATATATATTGTTCATCCGATTTTTTATATTTGTCCTCCGCAGCCGTAATATGCACTCTGTAACAACAATATTTGGGTAAATATATCAAATGCAGCTCAGAAATACCTTTGCTAAATTTTATCAAGATCGGTTCAGATTTGGATATAGCTCCCATATATAACTTCGTCCGATTTACCATTTATTGTGCACCAAACGTCTAATATTTGTTCAAATGAGATGGAATTTAGCACATACGACCGAATTGAGTCTAGAAGGTAGTATGCCAAATTTGGTGAAGATCGGTTCAGATATAGTTATAGCTCGCATATATATTGTTCATTCGAATTATTGTATTTGTTACCCACAACCGTAATATGCACTCCGTAACAACGATATTCAGGGAAATATATCGAGATCGGTTCAGATTTGAATATAGCTCCCATATATATCTTTAACCGATCTCAAATTAATTGTGCACCAAATGGGCAATACAAATCCGAATTTAAAAGATACAAATGCTTCGGCATATTTAGTCCTTTGAATTTTAAATTATAATTATAATCATAGCGTGTATGATTGAATTCTTCCATAAAAACTTTTAATTAGTGGAGCTCAACTAAATTAGCAAAGTGGTGTAGGGTATCATAAAGTCGGATGGACTTTAGGATTTGTTCGATTTGGTCAACTTTGGCACGAATTATAGCCTTCAAACGGCACACGATGCCCGATTATTGCTCTACGGTATTTTGGCCCATTCCCGGCGAAGCGCTTGCTTGAGGTGATCGCCACTTTGGTATTTTTTAGTGCCTACCTTGCTTTCCAAAATACTTCAGACATAATAGTCCAACGGATTGGTAGCCGGAGATTTTGGTGGCCATTTTGCGCTGGAAATGAAGCGAGGAACCTCATTTTTTAACCATTCTTTGGTGGCGCGTGCTGAGTGCGATGGTGCAGAGTCATGTTGGAATATCCAAGGTCTGTGGCCAAAATGTTTGCATGCCCAAGGATTTAATACACCCTCCAGAATATGTTCACTATAATATTCGTCATTTATTCTGATGCCACGGTCGATTGCTACGAGCGGAGAGCGACCATCGGCTTTTATGGCGGCCCACACCATCACCATGGCTGGCGCTTGAGTTCTGGTGGCCAACCGAAGGTGCACATTTTCAGCTGACCTCTTTGGCAAGTAAACACGATCATTTTGTTTGTTTACTAACTGCTGTACAACGAATGTTTTCTCATCGGAGAAAACCGAATTCGACAGTTCAACACTTTCGACCAAGCGAAGCAACTCTTTAGCTCTTTTGACTTTTCACTTTTTCACTTTTTGGAATTTCAATGCTTTTGCGATTTCTTCGAGTCATTTTTCGGCCACAGCGACGCGGGTTTCGATAAAGTCGCTCCTTTATTTTTCCAACCATTTCTGCTGATTTTGTTGTTTTCTACCGCCCACTTCCTTGACGTCGAGCTACGCTACCAATATCACGTTAACGAGCGATGGAACTAGACACAAAAGATTTATTCACATTTAAATGCTGGAGTGCTCTAACGATAGCCACTTGTCGTTTTCCAGCCAAATATAAAAAAAACACACTATCACGCTTGAATTCCATCACGAATATCTTTTTTTTTTCGGGAAAATTCTCACCAAAATGCTTTTTTACGATTGTAAACAATATGATGTGCTGTCACTGGAATAATTTTAACAGCTGTCGGACGAGTGGCTTAGAAATGACAGCAGTCTTAAGTTGATTACAGTTTTTTCATCTCACCCTGTATGCATTAAACGCATGGAAAGTTCTTCGAGCTTACGCAGTTTCCTGAAAAATATTGGTCGATGCGAATTGTTTGAATAGAGAAACGTAACACTGACAATATCTAACCTTTAAATTGACAATGAATACATTGTTTTTAACTCCCCCAAACAATACAATATTAAAAGAACACAATTAAAATTGTAGGAAAAATATTTACGAAATTTTATTTCAAGAAAATGAAAAACTCAATATTAAAAATTTTCAGAATTTTTTATACATCTTTTTATTGTTTTCAAATTACCAACGAATTGATTTTTCTCTGCTTGATTTTGTATTGTTTTAATATTTCTGCAGAAATATTTTGATTTTGTGTTTCTATTGAATTCCTTTTTAATTAAATTTCATACGTTTCTCTTTCATAACAGATTTGCACACTGCACATGATATTCTTTCAACGAAACTGTGTATGTATGTGTTCTCACACAACGCTTATGGGTTAGATGTCATGGCCATGAAGGATGCGACGATCTTCAGATAATGATAGCAAAAAGTCAACAGCACTTTACATATTCAGCATAAATTACAAACTCCTCTGAAGCATAAACATTAAGAGGAGGCAAATGTCATGCCCCTACACAATGCTCACACTGTCACACAGCAACAACAAGAACAACAACCACAACAATTGAGCTCATTTATGAATGTAATGTACAATAATAGGCCCTTGGTGAATAATTACAAAGTATGCGCGTGAGTATATATTTTTTTTACACAAACTGCGAGTGCTTTGAAAGATCAACAGTACTAAACAAATGACTGGTTTGGTTTTAATTGGACCTAACTCACTTCGCATTTAAACGAGGACACCCTCTTGAGGGGCTCACGACTTGTGGCGAGTAATTTGCCGAGCAAGCCATTTTGGGACCTGAACTAATTTTTGGAGAACACCAGATTTGAATTGTTAATGTTCTATAGAGAATTTTCAAATGTAAAGTGAAAAAAAAAAAAAATCCGAAATTTATGTAATAGGGGGAAATAGAATACAACATGAACTTTTGGGGAATTATGTGTTTTGAAAGGATCACATGTGTGGGTGTTGCATTGTAAGTCTATGCAGAACATGCAATTAATTTAAGTAGGATGAAATGGAAGGAGGAATGATAAATTTTTTTAAATAAATAAATTTATTTTTTTTATTTTTCTGTGAAAATTCGGTAGGAATACGGGAACTCGATTACGGTGTTAGAGGCTACGAAACAATAATAATTCGATAAGACTTATAATTAACATGTAAAATAGTACCAGTCGGTCTTGCCGACAGATGTATACCCCCAGCCTTGAGTTATGATTATTCGAATTGTTGACTCTTTATGTGGGAGATACCGAAGCTGTTGGCCAATATTGACTAATTCGTATCTGACCTAATACGGATATACTTATATACGACTACTTCCTATACTTTATTTGATATATATGCAATTTTTTGGAAAATGTGGAAATATACGTGAGGTAACAGATATAGCGGACCGAAGTATTCATCTAATACAGATAAAAATATTGGTATGTGCAAAATTTGAAGGAAATCGAACATTCATATCCAATTTTTTGCGAACTCATAAATTCCGATAAATTACATATTCATATCAGATTTCTGGTTAAGAGTTCTTTTTAGATATAGCAAGTATTGGAAATTATGATCCTGATGATAACAAATATTGCTTTAGAAAAAATTTTTGTATGTATAAAATTTGAAGATAGTAATATACTTGTTTCGCTTTCTTTAGGCGTTTTGTTTTTCAAAATCTTGAACCCTGTATGGGGGAGTTACCCGAAGAAATAGTGAGATCTCTACTATCTTTATAGCAGATATTGAGTTGGTGGAAACATTGAGATGTACCAAGTTTGAATGGAATCGCACGTTAATTTCGTGTTTTATGAGCTTCATGAATATTCGAAATTTTGACCCCTTGTGGGGGGAGGTATCAGAAGGAGTGGACCGATATTGCTCATCGCCGAACTCGATCAAAGTTTGACAAAAATATTAAGATTCACCCAGTTTGGATCAAATCGGATACTCCCTTCTATAGTTATCGTTCGCACCAGTCAGGCAGACAAACGGATGGATA